TTATGGGGAAGTGTGATCTTTAGTGAAAAGCTGGTCGCATTGATTGGTTAAAGTCACAAGAAATATTATTTTCTTTTACTTTGTTTTTTCCTTGATTGCAAAAAAAGGCTATTTATTCATGGCTTATCTTTAAAAAAATTTATACACTAAAAAAAATGTCACATTTCCCTTTAAATTAAGAACCCAGTATAGTTGCTTTACAAACTCGGCAAAAACATCAAAGTAAAATACACAAAGTAAGTCGCACCATTGAAAGCACTAGTCTTCTTGGTTCTGATTTCCTGGATATGGCTGTATCCATTAAAGCCGGAGAATAATTCAGTCTTTGATCTGAACTTTAATCTACTCAGACTCCATGTGATAAAGGTTCTTCTACTGCTGCAAGTAAAAAGGAAAAGAATTTGTGTCACAACCAATCAGACTGATGCTTCTTGAAGGTTAATGTGTATCAGAGGTTGACATTCTCTTTGCAGGATCCTATTGTTTTGGCGAATTGCGGGGGTAAAAATAACTGTGTTTTTTTTTTCTTTCTTTTCTTCCGTGGATCTCAGGCAATCAATAATTTCTTGCAACAAAAGTAGGACCAAATCAATCAATAATTCTAAAGGGAAAAGGCAAAAAGCATATATACAATTGAGCCAAAAGGAAGACAAGTAAGTTTTGTAAAATGTACCTTGACACAAATGAACGTTCAGGAATCTATATACAGCTGCTTTTGAGTCCACCATCCATTGCTTGCTGCATCAGTACATGCTACTTTACAAGAATATGGTAGCTTAAGTACAAAGAAGGAATACAAGAGACCCATACTAACTCATGGTTGATCGGCATGACTAACGCGAGTTTAAGAAGAGAAACTATATTGAAACCATCACTATCTCCAAATACAAACATAAAAACTTAAAAATTGTGAAACTTTGATCATTTTTCAACGATCGAAAGCTTTTAGAAAACAAGTATTAATTGATAACTAGTGGGGTAGCCTCACCAGTATCATTGACTATCGATCTTGTCAATACTTTCCTCTTCAGTAGCATTGCACTCCACCGTAGTTTCTTGCAAAGCCTCCGGAATTTCCTTAGAGGCTGGGATTGTTTTCTGAGTTTGCAGACCCGTAGAGCGCGCAAGATCAATCCATTGCTGCAACATTTTTTTTTCATGAAAAGTTGGGATCAAGATAACAGATAAAACTTCCAAAAAATAAACAAAAGAAGAGGTCGGCACACTTTGCTTAAAGGAGAAAAGGAAATAAAGAAAAGCAAGAGGAAACCAAAATACAGGCATGTAACTCTAACCTGCGTTCCGAAATATGAATTAAGTGTCCTGACAACAAATGAAATTGCATTTACAAGTAGAGGTTGAGAAGAAAGCTCATCAGAAATGCGATGCTCTATTAATCCAGCAATTATCTGCATTTAAAGACTCTTTGATGTTAGAGGCATAAATCATATCATAATGTCCTTCATCACTGCTCCTCCTTAGCTACATAGAAGCACCATACCTGGTAACGAAGATTTGCAGATGTTCCAAGAAAACCTCCATAAACCATTGCCGTCTTCAGAAGAGGAGATCTCTTAGGTTTCTGAGCAACAACCAACTCTGGTTTAATGATTTTTCGAACAGCATTCAATGCATTTGAAGCTCCCACAGCTGCGAAACTGGAAACGACTCCAACACCAGCTAGCTTCAAGCCACCAACAATAACTGAAGCAATTCTAAGATTCAGATTCCAGTCTCTTCCAGCAAGAGTTTTTTGAAATGCATTATCAGGTATGGATCCTAGGAGGCCTCTCAAGGCTTCTATGCTGTCTGGTCCAGTGGTCTCATCAGCATATGAAAGAAAAGACAAAGTTGGGGCAGGAAGCCAAACTGTGAAAAAGTCAACGACTGATCCTCTCACTGTATCAGTTATAACATAGTCGATTTCTTCAAAGAAATTCTCTTTTCGCTTCTCATATTGTGCTAGAAGTGTGGTTGTTATTGATATAGCCTCCTCGATAGCTAACCTATTCAAGAATTTCGGATCTGCCAACAATCTTTCTCGGAAACCCTGTATCACAAATCCATAGTGTGAATCATCATAATTTAAAATTCTGCTCAACTGTTCAAGATATCATTAACTCTGGGGGATAGAAATAGGACAAGGAATGTTGATGGACTGGTATACTATCTCTACTATATATAATAGATCACAAAGAATACATATTCTATCAAAAATCTTATAAAAGAAATAGCATCCAGAGTGGATATACCTGGAACCGCTGAGTAAGCTCAGAAATAAGAGGATACTGCTCCAAATCAAACAAATTCTGCAGAACCTCAGGTGACACCAAGCCACGTTCCAATCCATTTTGAATATCCTGGAAAGCATGGAAAAGATTTCATTATCCTGAACTTATGACATGCAAGCTTGAGTCAAAGTCAAGCTCAAAGAAACCATTTGAAATCTACCTGTGGAAGGGCATCTCGCCTCCTGCCAGCTGCATTCATTACCCGAGCGATCTCTGCTCGGTCAAAGCAATTTCTACTGCAGGGTCTTGCTGCAGAATACCACAAGAAATCAGCAACTGGAGTTTCTCCTTCTCTTCGCAAGTACTGTCTTTCAGGATCAAGTAATACAACAACTTGGTTTTTCTTTGGAAACTTCCTAGAGATCCTTGCTGGCAACCCTGTTCCTCTGGAACCATACTCAACATGAGTTGCCCCTGTCACCACTAATAGCAGCCCAGTCCCACCTCCATCTGCTACTGCTTTTAAAATAACTTGTGACATTGTATGGTCTTCCACAACTCTTGCCTGTGCCGACAGATAAGAGCTTGGTCCAAACGGAACAATCTGTGTTGGGAGGTTCATATCGAATGCAGATCTACGTGAAAATGAAGAAAATCCTGAGATAAACCCAGAACCAGCAGGGGGAGTGTATAATTTACGCTCAGACTTTGAAAGACCACGGATACCGTCTGCTTGGACAGTCCTTAAAACCTACATCAGAATATGCAGAATGCCGTCAGCTCTCATCAGAGTCGCAAACAAATGTAATATCTCTGATAATGCTATCTTTACAGCTTGAACATGTGCATACTTGGTTGAAATGGTCAAAACCAGATTCATGCCACAAACTTCAATCAGAGAGAAATCAACATTAATCAAAAAGAGCAATGCATTGCATCTCAAAACTAGTAGAGAACCAAGTGATCAAAATGAAATCAAGCAGCATAATCAAAGGGATCAAGAGATAAACTTTGAACTACAACGTTCAGCCAAACCAAACAGTAAACTACATCCAAATCAAATTGTTAACTGTGTAAATTTATAAGACTTAAGACTCTACCTTGAGAGGAGTGCCGCAAGCAATTAGTCTAATCGCATTATCACGACAATAAGTTAAAAGGGGCTCATATTCTTGCCAACGTTGAGCCGGCCAATGTGTGACATAAGACTTCAATGTCTCTCCGTCCATCCTGCCACCACAATTACCATAGGGGAATTTCATGTTCAGTAACCAACGCGCCAAACAGTATTCATGATCATAATGCATAAGCTGCAATCTTGAACTTGCATCCAGATGCAACCAAATTGTCCTCTCTTTCTCCATTTTTAAAGATCATAGGTTTAGTACAAAAGACAACTGAAACTAGAAATGCACGCAAAAACTCTTATACATTGAGAATAGAAGATTGCACCAAAGGAAAAAATTGAGGACAAACCTCTTATCCATGTACTGATTAAGCTGGTCCTGCAAATCGAGAGGAAATGCTTCCAGTGCCACAGAGATTTGACGCTCACTCCCGACGCATCTCTTCCTCAAGTTCCTAACGATTTCGAGTTCAAGCTCTTTGTCGTCTTTGGTAGGCACCTGCTCCGCCTCGCCGAGGTAGACAACCCTCGCATTCATCAGTTTCTCCCACACCTTCTTCTTATCTTTTCCCAAAGCCATCGGTTCACCAATCGCCGTCGCGTCATAGATTCTCGAAGTTATAGTCTCTTCCTTATTCACGGATGTAGACGGCGGTGGAGCAGTAACGGTCGCCGGAGGAGGAGGAGATGCTGATTCCGGAGGCGAAGTCAGTGTAGAGGAAGAGCTCTCCTCGGAAGCTAAAGAGATATTCGGTTTGAGAAACAAAGAAGCAGCGGCGGAGATGAGTGGAGGCGCGAGGAGAATCGCGCGGCGAGAGAAGGCGGTTCGAGATGGAGGATCGGAATCAGAAATCGCTATAATGGATAGAGGATTGTTCTTATTAGTGAGGTTGATCGGAAAATGAAGGCCATGGAAACGGCGACGGCGAGGACGGGAAGAGGAGGAACAAGGACAGTGAAGCGATGGTTGAGAAGCAAAGAGATCATTGGTGGTGAGCTTCATCCTCAGAGACAAGAGAGGTTAGCTAATTCCATACAATCGCTAGAGCCATAGAATTTAACGATTCATAACATTGCTTTCACCGCGAAAACATTCTTCATTTTTCCTCTGAATTTTATTGAAATAATCGGGGAAGATAAGATAGCCACGTCATTTATTTTAAATAATTTTTTCCTGGTGCAGAAAATCCGATAAAAAAATACAATCCACATGAGAAAATGATGAGGATCAAAGATCAAAACAGACTCTTTGCAATTTAACCGATTACAGTCTCCATAAAAGAAACACATTAGGAGAAGATGAATAGGACAGTCTCTTTTGAGATGAAGATTATTAGTTTGGCGTGGAATTGAGAGCTGAAGAAACAACCATCATCACTGAATGTTGATATCATGAAACGATGGCAAGACCGCAACGAGAGGCTCTCCATAACCTACGGAATCTGTTTGCACATGAAGCATGAGTTTATATCATAAGCCAAGCAATGTCGAAACACTACTGAATGCACAATGTTTGTTACCTCCTTCATCTGAAAGAAGCTTGAGGACTTCCCCAGCTACATCCGACTGTTCCATTAAAATAGTAAGATCGATGAGTCCAATTCGATATTTTTCAAAGAAGAGATGGATACATTAATGCAGCTATTTACCGTCACTGGAAGTTCTTTTCCTAACTGATGAAGGTATCCAATAACTTGGCCTTCTTTTATTTCATCACCCTGCCAGAAATTATTTGCTAAGGATCCGGTGGGTAATCAGCGATCTTATTTGCATTCCTATATCGGTAATTAGATTTGTTTACCTCTTTACAGCTAGGAGGTTGTTTCTTTCCTTTTACAGTTCTGCTTCTCTCAAACTTGCCCACCTTTGTGCACAATAGAAGAAACCAGATCAAACTCAAACAAGATAAATGCAAAGAAAAGGATATGTAAGCAAGCACTTAATTTGGAGGAGATGGATCTTGTACCGAGGGAGATGTGACTAGAACATAATTGTTAATCCCAGATGTCTCCAAAGCAGCTAACTTTGACGATTTCCGATACGATGCATTTATAAATGGAGACACTTTTTCAGAGGAAGGTTTTGTTTGAGATGGGCTAGGAGCAGCAGAAACAGATTTATTCATGGGTTCAGAAGGAATAGGAGGTGCTATTGTTGGCGATATGTCAGCCACGGGAATGGGATTTGCGGCCTGTCCAATCTTCCGTTTTAGGTTCATCTCGAAATCTCCAACCTGTAGTGAAAGAAAGCATCAGAAAACTATAGAACCTACGATTTCAGTATCATCCACAAGTCAAATAACCGATTATTAGGCTCCAGATTGTTGAATTTATAAGCATGCACTTGTCTTCTTAGTGGCGTTAAAGAAAGGTTTATAGTAACAGTGAAGTTAAAACAGTAATGGCAGAGAGACTTGCCTTAAGTTTCAGCACAGCAACCTCAGTCTCATCACACATCTCGTGAACCAGTGCCTGTAACATTTCATCTAACAACATATAAAGAACAATCCATACATCATGTAGACAAAAAATAAAGAGTAGATTGCCTGAAGTTATGCATCCAAATTCCTGACAATCTAGAAAATGCATGCTACCAAACATATAAGCTAAAGAATCTAACATTCTAAAACACACAAAGAAAGCAAAAGAAGAAACCTCCACTTCTTTCGGGAAAGTTATCCGTCGAACAGCGTTCTTCCCGTTTGACATACTAGTATCAGATGAGTCTACAAAATCAAAAATGACATGTTACAATATTCACATCACTGACTGTATTCTGGATCCAAGATGAAGAAGAAGAATAGTGAAAGATAAACTCACCATCACTTTTGGTTGTTGTGGAAGATTTAGAGGCTTTTGCACATAACACAAGCGTGTACTTGCTATTCTTGTTAAATCTCCAATGTGGCACACAAGAATTACCAGAGGAAGACCAGTTTCCAGGAATTGAGTGGACCTTACTAACTGACGACCCCAAAGTCTCTGTAAAATGGAGCAAGAAAAAATCACTAAATCCATCCTTCTTGTACCAATTAGAGATATACAAGATCCGAAATCGAAATCACCAAATACCAATGCACACAAAGAGATGGGATCTATCAAAACATCAAATAATAACAGTTTCACTGAAATTGTTTACACTAACAAGTGATAACGTATAGCTCGAATCAATGCATTTCACTCATACACCTTCATTTCATTATCCTCGTGAAACCAACAGCAAATAGC